TGTGTGTATTGTATTTATTGTCCTGCTGGGGTACTCTGGGTTTCTTTTCCTACTCCTTTGTGGTCTTGATTGTGTGACTGAATGCATGTGATCTACCTACTCACCTCATGGATGGAAAATGAAGTATCTTGACCTAAATGCCGAGTCTTTCTACAATGCTTTGTCTTTTCATCTATGAACGGTTGTAGTCTGTAGGTTCTGCCAGAAGTTGAAATTTCGTTGTTTAGTGCAGTAGAGACTGAACTAAGTCCATGTGGAACTCCTTTTGGTTGGGACCTGGTTGGGACCTGGTTGCGACCTACGTGGGACCTCTGGGACCCAACGGGACCGGGCCCAAACAAGAAGAGCCTCTGGACCCAAATCGGTTAGGCATTGGCCCCTTGTCTTCTTGGCTGGGATACGGAGTTCATTCTTCTTGGATTAGGACACCCACTGCCGAGGGGATCTTGGCTGAGACGTTTCGCATGTCTTTTGGTTGCACTGTCCGTGGCTTGACTCGCACCCTGTACACCACTCAATTCTCCAATCTTGCATTTAGTCACTCGTTGTCTGATTTGCTGTACGGTCACGGAATTGGTCAAACTGGACTCGAGAGGACCTCGTATGCAGTTCGATCAGACTGGGTCGCTGGATCAGACCTCTCATTTGAACTTGTTTGTTTTTCTTTGGTTTGCTGCTCTCTACGTACGAATGAAATGTGAGTTCATTTTCAATGCCCGTGGAGACCCGCCGCCTGAAGGAAGAGAGAGAGAGGGAGACAGAGAAGAGAGAGAGGGAAAGTGACCGTTTGGAGCGGGCAAGGACTGGGAAAAGGAGTGTTCGTCCAAGTAAGAAGGGGAGTGAACCTCTTGAGAGTCTAATTGATTCTTTTGCTGACTGGCGACTCTCTGACCCACCTGTCAATACTAGGGGTCCAAAAATGGCTCAGCTAACTTCAGTGCAATGGCGGACCTTGTTAGATGCAGCCAGTGATGCGAAAAAACCATATCTACAAGCACTCCTAGATAGTGCAACCAAAAGGGAACAGGAGGCAGAGAAGGAGAGGAAGGAGTCATTGCTGAAAAGGCAGGTGGCCATCCTAGAGATTGTTCCCTCACTACCTGAAGAGCAGTGTGGGGAACAGTTGCAATCTATACTCACCGCCCTTGTTCAAGTCAGGAATCTTGAAGATCATACCACTCAGATCGCTGAAGTCTTCGCAAATTTGCAAACACTTCAAGATGATCCGACTGATATGACCCTCAAGTACCACGAATTGATAAAGGAGGTGGTTGAGCTGCGACAAGCCCAAGTGGCCAACCCTCTTCCTCTACCCCCTTTATCTGAAGCTGCAATTGAAACTACCTCTACCTCTCTTACTGTATCTTCTTCCTTGAATGTGATGGCAAACCCCTCGAGACCTGCAACAGGTTCAGATTCCGTTGTTGCTGTGACAAGCAACGAGGCTGGAAATTCTGCAACTGCTGCAGCCCCAAGATTGGAACCAGCAGGTGCTGGTCCCAACCACGTCGGTCCCTATGTGGACTGAAAGACGGTTCAAATATCGTCTAAGTACGACAACAAAGAAGACATCGAATCCTATATCAGCTCTATGAGGGCATATTTCGAGGTGCTGGGGACTCAACCTGCGACCCAGTCCGTGATCATGGGAATGAATGTTGAGCCGGTCGTGCGGGGCTTCTTAGAGGTCCAAGCTACGCGAGCTGGGATTCCCAAAATAGAACTAAGAAGGTGGCTTAAGACCACCCCGGTTGCCTCCCTCGAGGAACTCCTCATTTCGCAATACTTGGATCCACATGCAGCAAGGGCAAGAATCCAGCTTGACAAAATCAAGCGCAGCAAGTGGACGGGCTCCATGAAAAGCCTGCAGACTTCCCTTAGCAAGATGTGCAGCAAGTGGACGGGCTCCATGAAAAGCCTGCAGACTTACCTTAGCAAGATGTTTGCTACACCCGGATTGGAACTAACTGCTCAATCTTGCTTGGATGTGGTCAAAGGCGCGGTTCCCACCAACTTTACTAATCGCCTAGGCAGGGACTTCATTGGTTACACTGACTGGTTCACCTTAATGAAGGACATGGTCAGTCTTGAGGCTGTAGACCTTGTCACCACAGCAGGCAGCAAAAAGCCCATGGGCAACAGGCGGTTCAAAGGCAGCAAGAGTTTTGTTGTGCATGACCTGCTGGGGGCTGAAGAAGAAGCTGATGCAGAGGACCCCACTCTTGGTGACGACCAAGAATAGGACCCTGATACAGCTTGTTCTTCGGCCTAGGAGTCTGACACAAACCACAAAGAAGAAAAATTTACTGCCTTCAAAAAAACTGCCAACACAAAGGGGCGGAATCGGAGTGAGGGAAGAACTATGGCCAACTTTCCAAGGGAGTCAAGATCCCACCTAAACCGGAGGATGCGACTACTAAACCTTGGGTCGACCATAAGGTACTGGCGGGGTAGACTCAAGAAGGGGGTATGCCTGCATTGCCAAAAACCGAACCATAAGGTACAAGATTGTTACAGGCTGCAGGGAAACCAGAACCGGGCGTAGAGCCAACTTCAGCAAACTCTACAGCGGGGGAGACTGAATCTGATGCAAATCAGCAGTCCTCCCTTGAAGCCCAATCATCTGCTGAACACAAGGTTGAGGTGAGTAACGTTTTGTATGTCGAGCCTTGGGAGGAGTCTTGGACGGTCGATTTTCACTACCACTTAGAGCATTGGGCTGAGATGAAACAGCAGCGTGCCCAGGGGACAGTGAAGTTGATCTTCTTCAAACTTCTCAAAAACCACCGCTATCTTCGTGTTTTGGTTAATTGTGGTGCTACGGCTAACTTCATGTCACTGCACGGGATACGCAAGGTGGGTTTGGGGATGAAGCAAGTGGCTTTGTAGAACCCTTTGCCGAACTCAAGTTGGCAACAAAGAGGTCTGCATGCAGTCAAAGGTGTGCGCACTACCTTTGACAAAGACAAAACTATCACCCACGCGTTAAACTTCTATGTCCTTAACAAGTGCCCCTTCGACGCTATCCTTGGCTTGGGCTGGCTGCAGTCCCAATGCGAATGGACCAAGTGGAAGGAGTCACTTTTCATGGTTGAAGATGCACAAGGGAACGAGGTTCCCGTCCTCTTGGATGAGAAACACGAATCCCCAGTGACTTTTCTGAATGCTATGAAGTTCTGCAAGAAATGACGCAAGCACAAGGAGGACGAACAGTTGTATGTTGCCTTTGTTCGTCCTGCCCATGTGCCATCTACTTTTGCTATTAATTCCGCTACTACTTCGATTAGTGATCCTACTTCTAGTACTTCTACTTCTAGCACCTTTATTTATCTACCCTCTAATGGTCCTAATGACCCTACTTCATATTCGGTCGTTTTTATACGCGACCTGCGACCAAATCTTGGTGATCCCTTTGCTGATCCTCCACCCCCTCCAGTTCCACCAGACATCCAAAAACCTACTTGATCGGTTCCCAGAAGTTCTGGCCGAGCCACGTGGAGTCCCCACGCATTCGGTCCGACACACCATCGAGTTGGTCGAGGGTGTTGTTCCTCCCAAGGGCTGCGTATACCGAATGGGACCTGGCGAGTTGGAGGAACTCCGGCGACAGATTGATGAGATGATTGACAAGGGGTGGATCAAGCCTAGCGAATCTGAATTTGGTGCTCCTGTGTTGTTTGTTCCAAAGAAAGGAGGCAAACTCCGTATATGTATTGACTATCGCGGTCTAAACCGCATCACAAGAAAGAATGCCTATCCATTGCCTCGTATAGATGACTTGCTTGATGCCGCAGGTGGGTGCAAGGTCTTCTCCAGGATCGATCTCAAGTCTGGCCACCACCAGATTGAAGTCGATCCTGCGGACCAGCACAAGATTGCGCTCAAAATGCGCGATGGGCTTTACGAGTTTACCGTAATGCCTTTCGGTCTCACAAACACACCAGCCACCTTCCAAAGCCTCATGGACAAGGTTCTCCGCGAACAGATTGGCCGGTTCGTGGTAGTCTACCTCGATGACATACTAATCTCTAGCAAGTCCATGGAGGAACACCTCAAGCACCTTGAGGAAGTACTGACCATCCTCAAGAAAACGCAACTCCATCTCAACTTAAAAAAATATGAGTTTGGGAAGGATAGTGTCATCTATCTTGGGCATCGGTTGTCTGCTGCAGGCCTGGAGCCTGAGGCAATCAAGGTTGAGGTCATATGCAATTGGCCTCAACCCGTGAACATTCGCGAACTACGTTCTTTTCTTGGCCTCGCGTCGTACTATTGGAAGTTTGTGTCCCGCTTCTCTATTGTTGCTCATCCATTGTCACGGTTGACCAGTAAAAATGTTCCCTATTCTTGGGACGCCGTGTGCACGAATGCTTTCCAAGCTTTAAAGGAAGCCTTGGTAAATCACCCAGTACTCTGCATTGCAGATCCCAAACCGGTGTTCGTAGTCACTACGGATGCGAGCCAGTAAGGAATCGGCGTCGTGCTGCAGCAAACGCATGCCCAGCGTAAAGGTAGCCACTTCCACCTACATGCGCGAGCTCACTATCTTTTGGGACGCCACTTCAAAGTCTTCTCATATCATGAGACTTTGAAGTGGATCAAACAGCAAACTACCCTGTCCCCTACCTTGCTTCGCAAGTTCCATGAAATTGACATTTTCGATTTTGAGTTAAGACACAAAAAGGGTTGTTATAACCGAGTAGCCGACGCCTTGTCTCGCCACCCCGAGTACATGACTTGCCTTGTCAAATCCTACGACCTCCGGAAGAAACTGAAGGAGGAGCTCGTAGAACACACCGCCAAGGATCCGGAGCTTAGTTCCATCCTTGAGCGGCTACGGGCTGACCCTAGCAGTCATCCTGATTTTCACGAGTATGGAGGACTGATTTTTCGTCTCTACGGGAACCACGACCGTTTGTGTGTGCCCAACCATGAGCCTCTCCGCACGCACTTTCTAGATTTGGCTCATGGACGGAGCGGACACTTCGACATGGCAAAGACGTACGCAAATCTGCTGCGACAGTTTGATTGGCCTGACATGAAAGGGACTGCTGAAATATTTGTGGTTGAGTGTCAAGTTTGTCAACGAATCAAACCATGCAGACAAAAGCCCATGGGCAACTCACACCCCTTCCCATTCCCGATGGTCCCAGGGAGTCCGTCTCCGTTGATTTCACCGACATGGGAAAGGTAAGTAAGAACGGCTACTCACAAGTCATGGTGATTGTTGACCAATTCTCCAAGTTTCTCAATCAGGTCCCTTTGCCGCTGCACGCCCCAACAGAATTAGTGATTCGTGAGTTCCAACAAAAGTACATTCTGCAGTTCGGGACCCCGAAGACTCTCGTAAGCGATCGGGACCCGCGCTTCATTAGTACTGAATGGAAGGACTTCACGTCTCATCTGGGGATCAGGTTGTGTATGTCATCTGGCCGACACCCTGAAGCCAACGGTTTGGCTGAAGAAATCAACCAGACTGTGTTCCAACTTCTCCGCGCTTTGATTATCCCGGATCAGGAAACATGGGATGAAGAGTTGTATTCCGTCAGGAGGTTGTACAACGACTCCATCCATTCTGCCACCGGCATGGCACCTAACAGGCCGCATCTCGGTTGGCAGATCTGTAATTTGCTCTCCTACCTATTCCCTGAGCAGCCAGCTCGCTTAACACCCGGCAGGCCTGGCTTCAGGGCCAAGTATGATCGCTTGCTCAAGGTTTCCATTGCAGCGATGACCAAGCGACAACATGCCATGATCCATCAGGCGAACGAGGGGCGCCAACCGTCGGACATTCAGGAAGGAAGCTATGTCTGGGTCAAGATGTTTGAATTCTCAGAAGAAGAAGGGGTCTCTCGCAAACTTCTCCCACTCTATTATGGACAGTGGGAAGTTTTGGATGTGATTGGTGAAGACCACTTTGGCCCTTCGTACGTAGTTGATGTGCCAGCCCATCTGCGCACATACCCCGTGTTCCATGCATCCAAACTGTACCTCCGCCGTGATGCTAAGACATTCGATTATCGCGAGGATATGATCCCTCTCGCGATCAAAGGCGGGCATGAGATAGACCGAATTAAACAGCACGTAGGGAAGGGACGCAACAGACAGTACCAGGTTCACTTTATGTATCATCTGTTAGATGATCTGTACTGGATTTCCAAGCAAGAACTGCTACGCAGCGCACCGCGCGTTGTTAAAGCCTACGAGCGACAAATCGCCACTAACGCTACACCTAAGATCTCTGCAAAGCTCACTGCGACAGAGTATTCTCTCTTTGCCTTGCTTGCCTACGATGCGTTTGTCGAGGACTCAGCTCGAAGGGACCTCGCTCTTGAGGGGGGAGTAGTGTGATGACCCGTCCAAACATGGACTGAAACATACAGCTGATTTCTGAGTTTTGTCCATAGACTGAATGCCTTGCTGAGTTTCCCGCCTGCTACTTAGTCTGAGTGTGCACGCTTGTTGGACTGCATGTCTGTCCGAGTGATGGTTGGCTTGAGTGTGTGTGTGACCATGCATGTCTGAGTGTTGGTTGGCTTGGGTGTGTGTGTGACCATGCCGTCTGAGTGCTGGTTGGCATGAGTATGTGTGTGGCCCGTCAGGGCACTTGCTCGTTC